GCAAATTACAGAGCGGCACACACGTTAACTCTCATGAAAGTAGACCTGTCCAACAAATCTATCAATGGAACGTGACCTACTTTCATTGGGGAGACTAACGTCGAAATAAATTATAAACCGAGACTTTTTTTTAAAATAATAATTTGTTCAGAAACCGAAAAGTAAAAAAAAAATTGTTTGGAGAACAATCAGAAGTGGCCGGCATTAAAATTATTGACACATTTGAAATCATCGGAGAATGTGACATGTCCTCATGTGAGCAGCTCTAACAGCCTTGCAGGCTATGTGGTAGTGACAGAGCTGGTATGATGGCATTATTTTTTATCAGCTCGCAAGATAAGAGGCACTGGAAAAGACAGGCAAAAACTCTCCAGTTATTGTAGACAAAGACAGACCAATTTGAACACGGACGTGGTGGTTAATGAAATTAACTAAGGATAATGGATTCAGAGGTTGGTGCTTGAAGGATAAGTACATTAGAAGGCGCATGCACGTCTTGTGTGCGGGAAGGACAATAAATAGTTTGGTATATTTGAGTATATGCAAGTGGCGCTGAGGGATACATAATTTTAGTGGAGTACAGTGCAGTCCGGTTCTGTATGGAAGAAATGCTATAATGTGCATTCGAAACTGCGCGTAAAGACGACTTGGTGAAAATAATAATCGATTTTAGTGCACTGCAGCTAAGGTGCGCGGCGGCGTTAAGTATCTGTACAGTTAGCTGTAAAAACAAAAAACTAGGGGCGGTGTTATACAAGTGGTGTTGAGGGGGTGGGAGGGGGGCCACAGCTAGAATTGGTGTTTGTGGGTGAAAATGATATGTGGACATACAACTAGACAATATAAAGTGTTATAAAGGGAACGAGAGAGAGACGGTGGATGGGGCGGATGTGGGAAGCCCGAGAGAGAAGACGTGGTGAGGACAGGTAAAGAAAGAGAAAGCAGGCGTGGGGGGGGGGGGGGGGGGGGGAGAAAGCAGACATAGGTAGGAAGAAATTACGACTATACTTCGGGAAAGTGGAAGAGAAAGAGAGCAGAATACTCTTTCCACAAGATGGGAGCGGGGGGAGAACACAGAAATGGGGAAGGAAGGATCTCGTAGACTACAATATTCAGGTAGGCGTGCCTAAATTTGTCTATAAGCATATCACAACAAAAACAAGGTTTATCATTCATATATCCCTAATACCTAGGTCTGTCACTCACTCGTACAACCAACTGTTGTATTTAATCGTGACCTAAGAGGGCACACATTCCAATAGTTGTGCAGATAGTGTTTTATAGATTGCTCCCAAACCCACGCGTGACCACATAGATAGCTCCCATACCCACGCGTGACCACGGGTTACTTTTTACAAAAAGTACAACGCGCACAGTTATAATTATGTGTATATGTTTGAACAGCGAGTGACAAACAGGAGTGATGCGTACAGTATATCGCAGAGAAGATCACGACAACAAGCAAGACTCCTTGTCCAGGTTGGTGGAAAAGGAGGCCCAACCTGCGGTTGCCAGACATGAACTTTCATCAAGGGCACAAGGCATCTGAATAATCAACACAGAACAGGCGTGATCAGTTGTTTCACTGTTGAAGAGGGTATCGGAGCACCTATGGATCTGTCTAGATTGATAGTCCTCACTAATCACTAACACGTTTCAACTTTGTATTTTTCCCTTGTGGGTTCCGGAATCCCATCTTGGGGGGTGGGGTAAACCCATTGCATCCCTAACAAATATGCCATATACGGCGACTAGTTAGGGGTTGATTTTTCCTCAGGTTAGAGTGTTCTGTTTGCAGCAGAATCTCATGCAAAACAATTGTTATTCGTGGTTTTCTCTGGAGTATAAATGTAACATTACAAGCTGCAGAATTGTTGAATTCCCAAAGGGAAAAAAAAAACTCAACTGAGCTGACAATAAAACGGCTCACACACAGCGGATCTGTAGCCATAACGGTAATAAAACATAAATATCACTTTCCCATTCTGGATGATTTCGTAAAAAATTGCTGCTCTTAATGTCAACAAAATACATCACACACTGGTGCAGTTTATTGTCTGATAATCCGTACGGATGAATGATTTTATGGGGGATGGGTGCGAACATGGTGTGTAGTGGATTATTGAATGGCATGAGGTGTCTTCAGGCAGAAGCCATGTCTAGTGCCAGTACGTTCATTTCCCTCACTCTTGTAGTCCCCAGATAGGCATAAAAGTAGTACATCCTGTACATTTGTTACTTAAAAAGTGTCCGCGTCTGAACCTGTGTAAATTATACCACTTTTATGGCCGTATAAACTACAGTAATAATTGGGATCTAATGGGTTAGTGTGTCAGCTACATGATGGGAAACAAGAAATGTGTGGAGTGTAACTAGTGAATGAGTGTTGAATTGTTGATCGTTGTAGCTTATTCCCCGTGTGGGTTCAGAAGCCTCATTGTGATGGAGGGGGAGGGGGAGACACACTGCGTCCTAACAAGCATGTCGTAAGAGTCGGCTAATTAATGGTGTTTTATTCGAAGTCGCAGCGCACCTCTCTAAAAGGCTAGGAACCAACAGTCTGCATACAAATACACCAGATATGTAAAACAGAATTTGTTCGGAAAACTAGTTCTGGAAACTAGTTCTGGAACAAGGCCAAGGTCCGGAAGTGGATGAAAAACCTTCTGCCGATGTTTATACAGCCGATACATCCCATTTCATTGGGTATTTATTTGTTAAACGGCTTAGCCTTTCCGGTTGGCTTCCTGGGACATTTTTGTGGCATCCTTTTTGTCGCTTTATCTAGGGCGCCCACATATGTGCACTGGTTGGTGAAGCAGGGGCATTCCCCGCCACCCAAGATGGTTTCCCTCAATGCAGAGCCGACGCTGTGGTCCATTGAATCGTTAAATCATTGATCCATCGTCCCTAAATGGGATGGAATTTTGAAGCCACCATCCATACTGTTGCCGTAATATACCCTATTGATTGAACTGAGTTTCTGGGACCTCTCCACGGGTGATCCTCGTCCGCATGGTGCCACTTTGTGTCACCGGGAGTTTATCGCTCGGTGTGATGTCCTGGTGGGGTAAAAGCTACTCACTTACTTAAGGAATCGTCACGTCCTGCTGGTGACTGCTGAACCTCACCTGTGTGTTGAATTTCATGCACTATTGCCGTAATAACCGGTCGATGCAGTAATACTAGTTGGATTGTGAAGAGCGTATACAAACCGAAGGCAGTGAAAACACAATTGAAGAGTGGTCGTGCCTAAGAATGTTTATGTATAGTAACAAACACTTCATCTCTTCCTGTACCTTGCAGTGATGAATGAGGATAATGCTGCAATTACAACAAGAGCTAAGAGGCTAGTAGTTTATCTGCGATAAACACCCGGTGATACAAAGTGCCCCCATTCGGATGAGGATCACCCGTGGAGAGGTCCAGGAAACTCCGTTCAACCGTTAGGTTAATTTATGGTCCCCCGCAACAGCCAAGGTCGGCTTCAAATTAACGAGAAATTCGTCCCTCATGGGGACATGGACTGAAAGTCCAAACTAGAGCAGTGTTCCTGGACCCTTTTTGTACCCTCCGCCCACCAGAGCAGAAACTTTTTCACGGAAAAAACAATTGTCAGGTAATGCAATAGCTGCTGCAGCTCAGAGCTGGGAAAATCTGTGCTGTTAAGCGAGGTTTCCGGCGTTGTTACCTGTTTTGTTATCATCCTTGAGGTGTTCATCCTACAAACTGCAAACCTGGATGAGAGAAAGTACCGGTTCTATTCCAATAATTCCCCCCCCCCCCTTCCACCCCACCCAACAAGGGAATTCCACAGGTCACGTGACATACTAATATTTCAGGAGGTGGTTCCTCGCCAATCTTGTACATATTTCAAAACGGAGACCGGCGTCGTTTTTTAAGAAATACTTTTTGGGAACGGGGGCAGTGTGTCTATTCTCCCTCCCCAAAATAGGGCCTGGGACCCCACACGGGGAGTTGTGATACAAAAAGTACGATTCATAGGTCATTTTATCGCCAGAGCTCCGTACCTGAAAACAGCAAAGTCGGGTAATCGCAGGATTGGAGTCAGGTAGTCGTAAGATACGTAGTGAGGTAATCGTAAGATAGGTAATCGTAAAATACGTAGTGAGGTAATCGTGAGGTACGTAGTGAGGTATGTAGTGAGGTAATGGCAAGATAGGTAGTCAGGTAATCGTAAGATACGTAGTGAGTACGTAGTGAGGTAATGGCAAGATGGGTAGTTAGATAATCGCAAAATAGGTAGTCAGATAATCGCAAGATAGGTAGTCAGATAATGTCAGGTAATCGCAGTTCCAGTTTCATAGCAAAAGGTTCACCCCATAGTAGTAGTTGCCGTGTTCCTTGGCCAGCGAAAAACCACACAGAATGTCCATCACTGTTCCTTGTGAAAACTAAACCACACAGAATGTCCATCACTGTTCCTTGCGAAAACTAAACCACACAGAATGTCCATCACCGTTCCTTGTGAAAACTAAACCACACAGAATGTCTATCACTGTTCCTTGTGAAAACTAAACCACACAGAATGTCCATCACTGTTCCTTGTGAAAACTAAACCACACAGAATGTCCATCACTGTTCCTTGTGAAAACTAGACCACACAGAATGTCCATCACTGTTCCTTGTGAAAACTAAACCACTCAGAATGTCCATCACTGTTCCTTATGAAAACTAAACGACACAGAATGTCCATCACTGTTCCTTGTGAAAACTAAATGACACAGACCGTAGTCTTTGCAAATTCAACAGCATACACGCGCATTAAGTGCATAAGGCCAACAAAAAAACACAATTCGACACTAGAAATGCAATCCAACGTCGATGGAAGAAGCAGTTACAACAGATTAACAGTTGGAGGCGCAATTAATCGCATTAGGCACCACAGGTTCTTGTCAGTTTTTTTCTGAATCTGCAGTTAGACAATATACAAGTGTACATTTGTGTATGAAATAACTCGTTCTTTGTGATATTTTCAGCTGAAGGCTTTCCGCACGGCAGCAAGGAGTGTCACGTAGAGAGGTGCACCAACGAATACGAGAAACATCGGTCACAACAAGATCTCTCTGGTCAGTGGCCCTTGGACAGCCAGGCTGTGTGCACGGCCCTTCGGACCTACAGACATTGCATCAACAAGACCGTCGGATGTCATGGAAATATCATGTACTATTCACTCAGAAACTACGTACGTCAAGAAATGGATATAAACAATTGTACAGCCAACGGGCAGACCGTTGAACCTTCCACCAACAGTCATCCACACAAACCTCATCCACACATGGTTCCCGCTCACTGTTTATATCAGGGCAAAAAAATCTACAGACATTGCGGTCTCTTTGGAGACCCTCATCTAAGGACGTTTTACGACGAGTTTCAAACTTGTAAAGTTAAAGGGGCCTGGCCACTTGTCAACAACGAGCACCTAACAGTGCAGGTGACTAACGACGCGGTGCATGGAAATACGGATGCTACAGCTACTAGCAAGGTAACTATCATTTCGTTATGCTGTTGTCCGCTGTGGATGCCTGTTGTTGTACTGTTATTAGTTTTTTAAAGGTCTTAGATTTTTTTTAATTTGACTTGCTAGGGCTTCCAAATCGACCCACCCTGATTAGGGCACCGGAAGATATCTTTGGAAAGTAAACACTGGTTACCACTTGCTAAAAGCATGGCACAAAGGAGATCTGTCTATCTGATGGGCTCCAGTTCGCCAACATCCAGCAGAGTTTTATCTAATATCTGTGAGCTGCAGCTGTTGTCGTTCACAGCTTTTCCCCCCTGATATTTATTTGCAGTGGTCACACACGTGTCAGAGACTCAACTGATCAAAAATATATATGATTTTTCTCGGAGATGCTACATTTAAGTGATTGTTTTGTCTATTCTTGTTTGTTTGTTTGTAGTATTGTCTATTCCTGTAATTTGCTGATAAAAGCTTTCTAGCCGCAGCGTTCATTTTTCGTTTGTGAAAAGCCGACTAAGTAGGAATGCATCAGCATGAGAGACAAGGAACCAGCAGTCTGCACACACATACGTCACATCTGTAAAACGGATTCGTTCCATATCACTGGATTTATTTCGCAGTGTTCTATAGACGGCCAATGTGTGCATTTTCTAATGTGTGTAGCTGGCATGCAATGAAAGTCCGGTCAAACCACATGTCAGATTGTTATCACTTCCTCTCTGTTCGACGCATCAATATTATGGCACACGGGTCTAACCCATAAGTGCTCCGTTCTACTTCTAACTCAAGCCTGTCTGAAGAATTTCAGCGCAGTGCCCGAATTCCGTTGAACCGGCGAAGATACTGAAATACTTTGTGCAGATTTTTAACTTCAAATTGTGCACAGAAAACGCCGTCACGCTGCTCTTTTCGATTTCCAACTGCCATGAGATTTTTTACGTGCGCAACAATACAAACGGGCGTCCGATCTTACTACACAGAGAACGGGGGAAATCACTAGAAGTCTGCTTGAAAAATCCCAGCCTTTACCAGGGCTTGAACCCGGTACCTCTCGAGGCGGACACTATACCTCGAGATCACACTGGAATCGACATAAATTACCGCATGGATGGAAAGCTGTTCAACCTCAGGAGGCTGAAAGCAAAAAGAAAAACTAAATCAGACACCATCAGGGAACTTCTGTTTGCCGACGATTGTGCCCTTTATGCCAACACAGAAAAGGATATGCAGCATATTATCGACAATTTCAGTGATGCCCGTACAAACTTTTGGCTCACCATCAACAAAGATAAAACTGTAGCCAATCACCAGCCCGTACAAACTTTTGGCTCACCATCAACAAAGATAAAACTATAGCCAATCACCAGCCCGTACAAACTTTTGGCTCACCATCAACAAAGATAAAACTATAGCCAATCACCAGCCCGTACAAACTTTTGGCTCACCATCAACAAAGATAAAACTATAGCCAATCACCAGCCCGTACAAACTTTTGGCTCACCATTAACAAAGATAAAACTATAGCCAATCACCAGCCCGTACAAACTTTTGGCTCACCATCAACAAAGATAAAACTATAGCCAATCACCAGCCCGTACAAACTTTTGGCTCACCATTAACAAAGATAAAACTGTAGCCATCCCAGGGCAAGGATACATCCAGTCAATTATCACAGTGAATGATTAAACTTTGTCAGTAAATTTACTTATCTAGGCAGCACCCTTTCACAGAATGCCACAATTGATGACAAAGTAAATGCAAGGATCTCTAGGGCTAGCATTGCCTTTGGCAGATTGTACACAAACGTTTGGAACAGAAGTGGCATAACCCTGCAGTCAAAGCTTAAAGTATACAGAGCAGTTGCATTAACTATACTGCTGTACGCATGGACTGTATACCAGCGCCAGGCTAGAAAGTTGAACCACTTTCACACAGTCTGCCTTAGAAAACTAATGCATATCAGATAGCAAGACAAAGTACTTGATACCGTAGTCCTTGAGAAAGCAGCTATGTCCAGCATCCACACACTACTGATGCAGTATCAAATTCGTTGGGCTGGTCAGGTGGCACACATGCCAGATCACAGGCTCCCAAAAAAACTCTTCTATGGTGTCCTGCAAAATGGGAAACGTTCCCAAGGTGGGCAAAAAAAAAAAAAAAGATTTAAGGACACCTTAAAGTCTTCACTCAAAGCATTTGGGATGAATGACACCAATTGGGAGGCTGCCTCTCAAGATCGAAATGCATGGCGTGCAGCTCTACACAATGGCGCGGCTACATGTGACTTACTAAGAAAAGGATGGACAGAAAGGCGACTGCAGGAGATCCATCCCTAGCACAATACTTTTTCCCTGTCCTCACTGTCCAATAACTTTTTCGGCCCGCATCAGCCTCATCAGTAACCTTCGTACTCATACTTGATGAAACAGAGTGGTCATCATCATCTTGTTGGACAAGACACATACCTCGAGACCACTCAGCCCGCCCCGCCCCCCCCCACCCACTCTCGTGTTATCACTTCACCAACTTTTATTCCCGTGTGGATTCCGGTGTCCTATTATGGGAGGTGGGGGGGGGGGGGGGATTAGACTACCCTCTTACCAAGCATATTGTGTAGGTTAACTAATTAGGGGTGTGTACTTCGAAGTCGAAATGTGTCTTGTCTGAGAAGATCGACAATCTGCATACACATAAATCTGATGTAAAATGGATGTGCACATAAAACTAAGGTTCTACAACAAGACTAAACTCCAGAAGTGGACGAACAACCAGAACTTTCCGCCCGCGTTATAACCTGCGAATCTACGTTTAGGAGATCAAAGGGTAGAGACATTCACCGTATGGAGACCTTTCTCTGGAAGCCCCCTTCTCTGCCAGCAGGCTGCGTTCTCGCTACACTGCTGTTTACTAGAGCCACCTCATTTCCATCAGCTGCCTCATGAGGTTGTTTTCTCTGCTTGTACAGACAGGCGTTTTCCCACAATATCGTGCATGCACCTGTTCGTGGCAGCCTGATGATCTGGCTGGCCTTCGCTGACATTGCCACCTTTCCTTCCTGCCCCACACTCGAAATCAGATGCAAGTTAAGTGAACACACTTGGTGGGCGGATTCAACAGTTAGTTATGCAGGCTTCGTGTGGGTTCTGGGCCCCCCATTGTAAAAAAAAAAAAAAAGAAGAAGAAGACCTACTGGTCTTTAACAATCATGGCTTAAAAGGCTGTCACTACTGTCTGTATTTACCACCTTTGAGGGTTGAGTAGACGATTGGGGTGGGGGGGGGGGAGACGAGTATTGAGCCAGTACGATAATTAGCTGAAAGCGGCTGAGAAGCCAGGATATCACACAGCCTAGCTGTAGACCACGACACAGCCTGCGGTTGCAGAAGTAAAGACAGAAAGGGCTGGCGTGAGTTGGTGAAGCATACATGCATCAGTTATCTTTATGCCAAGTGACTCATGAGGTCTACTGAGAGGACTTTACATGGTCTCCTGTTGTGTGCAATCTTCAGTGCAGTTTTCCATGTCAGAGATGCCGCATTCAGGTGCACTCTCTATCGTTCGTCTTCATGTTGTTTTTTTAGGCGCCCCTTTTTTTCTCTCTTCCCCTCTTGTATCCATGTGAGAGCTGTTTTGGCAGGTATATCAGGATTCATTCTCATAACGTGGCCAAGCCATTGCCATCTTCTCTTGGTTATCATATTGTCTAGAGTTTCTTGGTTTGTGATTTGAAGTAGTTTAATATGTGCTCCATAATGGGAATAAAATGCAGAAGAAGAAAGAGACTTGCACATAAATGCTATACCAGATAACGGGACTTTACAAAGTTCAACATCTTCATAGAAAATGTCACCCCCCCCCCCCCCCCCAAACGGGAAAGGGGCAGTAGGGAGTTTATGCCTCTCAACGTTTTCCAGTGGACGAATGTCGATCTTCGTCAAACTTTCCCGGATAGGAGAAGTCAACAGGCCGAAAGATACTGAGGGTATGGAAGTATGTCGTCAAGGCCAGTGAGACTTTTACCTGATTGGACTCCTGATTGGTGTGTAAAGTTTGGATCCCACGTCTGTGCTAAAGATATTTCATGCTTGTTCTAATTGGCTCCCGTTGCCAAGCCGTCAGGGCCTCGCGTCCATGATATTAATGCGTTCAGTGTTCGTAATTTTGGGGTTCTCTCTCCATGCTTACGAGGTCCTGAAGCCTCCCTTCCCCCAACCCCCTCTTTTTCCCCCAACCACATTACAGTAGTGTCCTTACAGTTGAAATCACGAATAGTGCTATTACAGACCACGACCTCCTTGAGCCCGACCGTGTTCCAGACAGTGATAGCTGGTTTTACCTAAAAACCTGAAGACCTAACACGGTACCACAGTACGTCAACAATTCCACGGGCATTATACCCTATTCGTGAATACTGAAAATGCGTGTGACTGCCGTCGAGTTAATAGCAAGAAATGAAATAGCCAAGAAGAAAAGGAAAGAAGGCGCATAGATACAACAGAACACCCCTGTGTGGGTTCCGGGGCCCCATTGTGGGGAAAACAAGAATAGACCCACTGCCTCCCCAAAAGCATGTTGTAAGAGTCAACTAATTGGGGAGCTTCCTTTGAAGACGGAGTGCGTCTGCCGGAGAGGCAAGGAACCAACAGTCTGTATTCAAGAGAATGAGATCTGTAAAACTGATGCACACGCAACACTCATGTTCTGGAGCAGGACTGCAGTTCAGTAGTAGACGAGCAACCAGAACCTTCCGCCAGAGTTTACAGCTGGTGAACGCGAAGAAGAAGAAGACAACAGAACATTTTGACGGAAATCTTTGTCAAGGAGTTAACCGGAAATCGCATAGAGAAGTGACTCACGACCTACTTTAGGTCATGCATGACATCCCCTTTCCGTTTGGGGATTTTCGCTTAGGTTTTTTATTGTTTGATTTGTTCTCAATGACTTCAGTGCTCGTTTTTCCACCCATTCAGCTTCCCAGATATAAGTGCAGTAGATATTTAAAGAAGCTTTTTTTAAAGGGC